CTTTCTTTCTTTCTTTCTTTCTTTCTTTCTTTCTTTCTTTCTTTCTTGTTCTTTCTTTTTTCTTCCTTCTTTCCTTCTTTCCTATCTTTCTCCCTCTCTCTTTCCCTCTTTCTTATTCTCTTCCTTCCTTTCTCTTTCTTTCTTCCTCCCTCCCTTCCTCTCTCTCTCTCTCTCTCTCTCTCTCACACCTATATATATCCTATATCAGATTGCTTACCATCTCAGAGAGTAGGGAGGGAGAGAGGGAGGGATAGAATTTAAAACTCAAAACTTTAAAAAACCAAATATTAAAAATTGTTTTTACATGTGATGAGGAAAAATAAAATGTTATTTAAAAATTGTTTAAAGGTAACAGCAAAAAAAAAAATTGTATCCACCATCTTTATAATTACCTAGGTTCCCAACTTTGGTATAATCTTCAACTCCTTGGGCCTCACTAGCTGCCCCCACCCCAATCTGCAATCTCTTGCTAAGTCTTTTCCGTTCTACCTCTTCAACATTTCTCCCCTTAATACACTATCTTCTCATATCACAAACAACCAATTCAGGCTCTCCTTAGATCTCACCTCCTAATGGGAATTCCTGCAACCAAGTTCTCTCCTCTCAAATTTATTTTCCATATTGTCTCCAAATTGATATTTCTAAAACCCAGTTCTGACCATATGACTCTGTTGCTTAAGCATCCAGTGGAAAGGGAATAAACATTTATGTAACACCTACTATGTGCAAAGCAATGTCCTTTTTTATTTTAAACAAATATTATCTCACTTGATCCTTACAACAATCCTGTAAAGTAAGTGCTATTATTATTATTATCTCCATCTTACAGTAGAGAGAACCGAGGAAAACTGAGGTTAAGTGACTTTTCAGGGTCACTCAGCTAGTTATTGTTGTTGTTTTTACAGTTAGGTACTACTCTTCTTGACCCCATTTGGGAATTTCTTGGCAGAGATACCAGAGTGGTTTGCCATTTCCTTCTCCAGCTCATTTTGCAGATGAGGAAACTGAGGCAAACAGGGTTAAGTGACTTGCCCAGAGTCACACCAGATTTAAACTCAGGAAGATGAGTCTTCCTGACTCCAGACCTCTTTAAGTCCTGCCACCAGTGCACTAAGACACTCTTAAGCATGAAAATCCAGCACATTCTTGCTCCTTCCTGTATTTCCAGGCCAATTTCACATTATTCCCCCTGACATAATCTATATTCAAAGCCAAAATAAGCTATTAGAAGTTCTCCATTCTTTGCCACTATGTCTTTGTACATAATTCCTGTCCCCCAGGCTCTCCTTCCTAAAGTGACAAATCCTAGAAATCTTAGAAACCTCAGCAACTTCCCTTTTCTGAACCTTAGTGTCCTCATCTATAAAATGGAAATAAGTCTCCCCTTCAGAATGTTAGCACTACATCATCATAAAGCCCCTTCCAAGCATACAAATAGTTTACCTGTCTAGGATTTTCTTGACTTATATGTTTGACTTTCAGAGTTCCTACTCTTATCTGGTCTTTAACATTTGTACTGATTTTACCAAGTTTCTTCCTTTCTGACAATCAAAGATCATCAAGGTGTATTTGATAATGTAAGTGTTATGACACGGGTCTCTCTGCTGGTAGGAAGATGATAGGAGTAATGTGAAAATGGTCTCTTTATTGAGGTCTCTGATTTAGAATTTTGTAAAAAAAAAATAGGGCAGGATACTTGAAAGTAATATGTTTTTATATTCTTTGAGGAAGATGATTAACTAGTCAATCCTTTTACCATTTCTCACAACATTGTAAAGGATCACTGTCTTTGGGAGAGCTCAACTAATAAAGATGAAAAGTACAATGAGGGAAAAAAATGCTTGGAATGCTTGGAAGGATTCCACCCACGGTTCATTTTCCTAGCAGTCAGGCTATTCTTCTGTTTAATCATCTTTCCAGTCGGTTTCTAAATTGGGGCTTATCTTTGTCCCTGTGTGGGCTTTTTAAAAGCATTGTTAGCTGTGTATCCTCTCAGCCCGGGTCACTGGGTTCCTATGCTGACCTTCACCTCCTGAGGTTTGTACCCAGAGCCCTGGATCTTCAGGGCCCTCCATATCATCTTAGGACAAAATACTGAGGATCTCAAAATACCTAGGCCTGCTCCCAGGCCCCTCCAAGGTGCCCAGGATGGGTTTCTGAGCCCATCGGAGTTTTCTTGGGAAAGCCCTCTGCCTTTGTTGCCTCCAGACACAGCTTTGCAGGCTACAGATGCCTCCGGTTTCTCCATAGCCACAATTGTGGGATTTGGGGGGTATTGTTCTCTTGTACTGGTGCTGGTTTTTCTGGTGACCCTTTCCTTTACCTTTAGGCGCT